CAACGCCTGGCCATTTTTTGGTTGCAGCCATCATTGTTGTTTGGCGGACCCAGGCTGGGGATTCGAACCCACCACCTTACGTGTATGTGGCTGGCACCTTAGCCACTTGAGCCACAGGCGCCGAGCCGAGTGTTCTTATAAATGAATAATGTTTAAGCCAGATGAGATGTTTATTTTATTATAATATATATGTATTAGATATTTCATAAAAATTTTGTGTACCTGAATTTTTTAGTTTCAAATAAAAGATTTTTATGCTATATAAACATACTTAAAAAGATAAATCCATATACACATAAAAGCATATATTCTTTTTTTTTTAATTAAGACAGTCTCACTTTGTCACCCTCAGTAGCATTCTATGGTGTCATAGCTCATGGCAACCTCAAACTTTTGGGCTCAAGTGATTCTCTAGCCTGCCACAATGCCTGGCTATTTTTGTTTTGTTTTGTTTAGCAGACCTGAGACCAGCCCCAGAGCATGTGGCCGGCACCCTAACCACTGAGCTACAAGCACCCAGCCTCCTGTGATTTAATTTATACTAAATTTTATATAGTAAAAATTGCTACCATTTCTTTAGTATCACCTATATACCAGATACATACTGTGACAAGAATATACATATATATACACACACATAAACTTTATATGTGTGTCTATATACTTTTTTCTATGTGCCAGGTACATACTATGACAAAAATACATATATCACAAATGCTTTAAAATACATATGTATATGTGTATATCCTTTATTCTCACAACCCAAGTAGATTCTCTTATTATCCCCATTTTATAGGTGACGAAAATGTGATAGAGAGAGTTAAGCACCATGTATGTGGTGGCCTGGATCAAACTGAGGTTCTAATGACTCCAAAGCCAACACTATGTGCTATGTTATTTTTCACATTTAGAGACATGTAATCCTTCTCCAGAGGGTTTGTGTAGCTTGAAATCTGCATTTAATTAAAAAAGGACTTGCTTTGTAGATGAGGAAGAAGAAGAACTGAGTTGAACACCACAGCTATTAGCATTCAAAAAGTAATGGGAATAGCATGACAAGGGAAAGCAAAAGTAATCCTCAGAGTTTGCTCTGCACTCTGGTTTCTCAGGATTCCTCACCAGATCATTTTACGGCTCCTCATATACCAAAATTTCTTAATATTTAAAATTTTGCTATTTCCCTTACGAAAAACGTGCAGAAGACTGAATAACTAAACCTAAGGGTTAGATAAGATCTCATAAGTACTTGGGTAAAGCTAGCCAACCAATGTTTAAATTCCCTTTATAACATCCCTGATAATTATATAATCTGATGTTTGACATTAATGATATGAACACTCTAAATTCCAAACCACCCTACTCAATTTCTGGACAGATCCATTAGTTAGGGATATTTTTGAACCAGTCCAAATTGATTTGATGTAGTTTCCATCCACATGTCATGAAGAAGCATGTTCGACAATTATCAATTTTCTCCTAGTTCCTTCAATTATTTCTTACTTTGCATAGTTTCTAGCCTTTTCATTATTCTGGTCATTCTCCTATAAAGGTACTACAGTGGCCTACATGCCTTCTGTGATATGGCCCCAGGAAACCCAGTGTTTCTGGTGTAGCCTCATCAGCCTAGTGCTGACTGCTATCTTCCTCATTCTGGATAGTATCACCTTAGTCTTCTATGACTAAATCACACAAGTGACTAACATTAAGTTTGCTGACTATTAAATGTCTTTTATAACCCATTTTGCTGCCAAGAACATGCCTTTTAAGACTTCACTTGGTTAGTTTTCTCAATCCAAATACTGGAGCTTAGGCTCGGCGCCTGTGGCTCAACCGGCTAAGGCGCCAGCCACGTACACCTAAGGTGGCGGGTTCGAATCC